GCACTATTCTACTTACTCAAATGCATTGTATTTCATTCCCCATGCATTGCAAGTTATTCCCCTTAGCTGTCTTACCCAGTTTATAGGTGTAGTTTCATTTTCCTATATGCCACGTTGCCCTATAGTGTCCAAGAATGTGCAGGCCAGGTGTATTTAACTATGGTAAACAAGGGGTTACGGGATTGGGGGTCTATGTATCTGGGTGGGATGCTGTTTGAAGATTTCATTGCTGACTCGATGGGCTGAATGGCCTCTTTCTGCATTATAGAGATTCTATGATGCAGAGGTAACTTACTGACTTTCAACATTGATGTATTGAAATGCAGACTGTAGTCAAATGATATACAAGCACCTGACTGCTTAATCTCCACTCCTCTACCACCCGACCCGAACGACCATTCCCAGTGGCATTAGAGGCTTGGTATTACATACATTGTGTGAATTGTAAAATACTGTGCATTTCTATCAAAATTATTGAAGAGGGACATTACCCCATGTTATAAAATATAATGTTATTTCAACTTGTTAGAATGTTAACACAATCCCAGGCTAGCTCAGCTGGAATAGGAGGTGGAAATATGGTTTAATAAGTTTGTGATCATCTTGTTAGTAGAATATACTAAACAGCTATTAGAATTACAACAGGACTACTTAAGCAGAATCTGTGACCATTTATGGGCCTTGGCATGTGTCAGTGGTCCATAGTAGCGGTGATGCAACTGAGAAACTTCAGTTCCAACATCTTTCCTGTAAAGAATCTAGCTTTAAGCATGCTGTAAAATAATTCTAATTCCCCAGCTGCAGGAATTCTAAATCCCTCAACAAACTTTTGTGCCAATGCATGTGGTGTGATATTACTTATCATTCATCACTTTGGACTGCTTTAAGAAAGATTGTCTGGATTTATTTAAATTTTGCAGCAACACTCCTCAGGCACAATTGGAATGAGTACAAAATTTGTGTGTAATGGAGGAAGCCAATGCTCCAGATGTACGTGCATTATCTATACTCACTGAATACGTCGTGGTGTTTATTGGCGTTTAGGTGAGGCAGTGGGGAAGATGATAAATTTTGCCTGTGAGAGCCCCATATCATCTCGGATAGGGAAGGTTCTCGAGATTAAGTGCCACACTTGACAATGGAGGGGCCTTCCTTGGCTTCAAAGTGGCTCTATTGAATGGCAGGACCATTGGGAGACTGTGCTGCTGCTGCTGCTGTTTGTGAGATAACCATCTGTGGTCTAGTTGTGTTGCTGGATCCCAGGACCCCAGCTGAGGTAGGGCAGAGGGCGAGTCCTGGAGGAATGAGATGAGGTGCATTGGCTGCAAGGACTGGGATTCCTGTCGGCAGACCGACCCCTTCCTGATCAGGGATGGAGTTCTTTTGAATGAGAGATGACCCCTGCGATATACACCTCTTAAAGCCGTAGTGTCGTCATGGTCTCTACCTGCTAATACCTTGCCATCACTAAGCTCAACAGGGGGAAGGGCATTAAATGCCACCTTGTGTTTACTGATGCCATCTACAGGCAAAGGATGATAACACAAATCCCTGAGTTTCAGCCCCTTTGTTCGAAGGCTTGCTCACAAGTTATGTTAGAAATGAAATCTGAAAATTGTTTTCAGGCTGTGGGCAGTTTGATACCAAACCCCAATACCGTGGTTAAAGCTGGCAACTCTCATTAATAACACCACTGTTGATGAATTAAACAGGATCATTAACCAACTGATTTCAATGCCACAAATCTTTTAGCATTAAGGCAGCATCCCCTTTCCGCGTTCCCATTCCTTCACAAAGCCAGTGACATTAGTTAGAAGAACGCAAGTGCTCAGACAGGACCTATCTGTCCATCTGAGAAACACATAGTCATGAAGATTGAATTGAACTGAATTGGCTTTATTGTCACACATACTCGCATGAGTATAGTGAAAACTTTACAAATCGCCACTTACGGTGCCACCTTAAGTATAAAGGTAGCGAGGTACAAATTCTTGGGAGAAAAAGATAGAAAAATGAAGAAATAATAAGTCCAGCATTACAAACCTTCAAAAGTGCAAAATCATAGTAATAAATTAGAAAAATAAGGAAATAAAAAGTTCAGAATAACAGTCCTTCAACAATAGTATAATTAAAAAAATTAGAAAAAAAGAGAAATTAGTCACTTCACAGCTCTGGGCTCAAGGACCCAAACCTCCCATGATGCCAAAGGAAAGCCGCACGGAGTCACAGACCGACATCAAATCTGCCACAAGGAGACCCAAATATTACCTCAAGACCGAGATCGAGAAGGGTCACGAATACACATCCTGCTATTCTATAAACTCAGTCTAAAGTTATTGATGTAGAAAGCCCCACTGGATTCACTTTATTTCAGCTTTGCAGCTGGCCCAGAGATTGGCAAGCCTCTCTCTTACTAGCCCCTTTACCCTGCCTATCCCCAAACCACAGATACTCGCACTATATTCTTTGGAAGGTCTATCTACTGTTTGAGTTAATGCGATTCTGAGGCCATTTCCTGGTCTAATCTACACCCTCTGCCTAGTTAACAGAATTGAATTAATATGGTAATAGCAATGCTGTAATTGATTTTAAAGTCCTGTTTTTACTTACTTAAAAATAAACATGGGAGACATTTAAATAAATAATTCAAAATGTTTAATAAATATGCATTCCATTAAAACAACAAAACCTCTGCAAGAAAAATATGTCCCCAGCTCATTTGGGTAGTTAAGGTATGTGTGAGACTAAAAGAGCAGGCTTATAGTATAAGAGAAAATAATAACAAGTCTGAGGATTGATTGGAGCACTTTAGAAACCAGCAAAAGACTGTCAAAACATTTGATGATAAAGGAAAAACAGAATATGACCGTAAACTGGTCAGGTATGCAGATACGGATTGTAAGAGCTTTTACAAATACATTTAAAAAAAGAGCTAAAGTAAGCAATGGCCTATAAAACACAGAAAAAAAATATTATGGGCAATGAGGAAATGGCAGAAACATTGAACAATTTTATTTTCTTGTCTTTATAGGACAAGATGTGCTCGTTCTGAAATAGATGGTAACCTAGAGACTATAAAAAGTAAGGAAATTAATATCAAGAAAGAAACGGTATAGGAGAAAATGAAGGGCCAAATATTTGACACATTCCCTCAATCTGATGCCTTCATCCTTGAGCTCAAAAAGAGATACCTGAGGAAATAGTGGTTGCACTAGTCATTACTTTCCAAAATTGCTTAGATTCATGAAAAATCCAGTCTGATTGGAAGGCAGCAAATGTAATGCCACTTTTGAAGAAAGAAGCGAGAGAAAAACTGGCAACGCCAACACCAGTTACCTAGCATCAATTGTTGGAAGATGCTGAAGTCTGTTTTTGCAGATGTCTTAACAATGCATAATATGATTACAGCAAGTCAATATAGTTTTACTAGGGGAAATCCTGTTTAACAAACTTCTTGATTTCTTTTTGAGGATGTATCTACTAAGGTAGCTAAAGGGAAACTAGCAGACACAGTGTATCTATTTCCAAAAGCCATTTTGATAAGGTGCCACGCAAAAGGTTGATGAGTAAGAGAAGAGCTCAGGGACTTGAGGATAGTGTAGTAGCATGGATAGAGGATTGTTTAATGGAGAATGGGCAGAAATGGCACTTTCAAGTTAGTAGGCAGTGACTGACATCTCAGCTGCTTACAGCCTACATTGGTGATTTAGCTGAAGAGATGGAAAGTATTGCACGTAGGTTTGCAGATGATGCAAAGCTAGATGAAAAGGTAAGCTGTGAGGAGGACACAAAAATGGCTTTAAAAAAGATTGTTTCTATTTCTGTTTCTGTTTTTGTAAAAAGATAGGAATAGGTTGAGTGATTGTGCAACAAGATGCAAGATGGTAAATAATGTAGGTAAGTGTGAAATTATTTACTTTGGTCAGAAGTATAGAAATACAGAGTGTTTTTCAAAACTTTAAGTGTCGATGTTCAAGGAGATTCATTTTGCTCAGGCAAGGTATGCTGAGAGTTAGCATGCAGTGTACATCCTCCAGTTTGGAACACAAATACCATGTTGGCCTTTATTTAAAACACAAAATAACCTAAGGGGTCTTGCAGTGTAGAAATAGAGAGAATGTTTCCTCTTCTAGGAGAATCTGAATAAGGGGTCACTTAAAAATCTGGCGTCAGTCTTTTAAAACAGATGAACTGAATTTTTTACACTGAGGTTTGAGAGTCTTTGGAATTCTGTTCCTAAAAAGATAGTGGAAGCAGAGTCCATTATTATCTTTAAGCAGAGGTAGATAGATGCTCGTTAAGCAAGGGATGAAAGTTATCAGCAATAGGTGGGAATGTGGATTTGAGGGTACAATCAGATCCAATCATGTTTGAGGGGCAGAATGGCCTACTCCTGTTCCTAATGCACAGTATTTTGTATCTATGTCTTAGCGTTTGGAGTACAGGAATAAAGAAGTTTAGCTCTAATTGTACAGGGTATTGGTGAAACCATATCTGGACAATCTGTGCTGCTTCTTGCTGTCATCCAGACAAAATCGGCAGCTTTGCTTCTGATTTCATTCTTCTCTCGTCTTCACCTGGTCCATCACTGACTTTTTCCTTGCCTTCCTTAACTTCGCTATTTCCATTTCTGAGGATCTGCTGTTCACCAATATTCATTATAAATCTAACGACTCCCGGCGTTAACTTGACTTCACCGCCCCACACCTTGCTTCCTGCAAGGATTTCATTGCATTCTCTCAATTTCTGTGTCAGTCACGTCTGTTGAGGTGATGCCAGCTTCCAAAAGGCTTGCTTAGACAGCACCGCATTTTTCCTCAACCAAGGATACCCATCCCCATTTCTAAGCCTAAGCCTAACCCTAAATCCCACACCCCCTCTCCCTCTGCAATCAGCCTGGTCCGATCGATCTTCGGCAGTTCTGTCATGTGGAGTATATGTTAGTATTTTCTTCAGTATATTTTGTATAGAGATAACTTTTCATTACTCTTGGACATTAGGTTGGCACTGGCTTCAGCTTTACTGACCATGATGAAGGCTATGCACAAAATGAAGACGATGTAGGAAGGGACCTGTACAGGTGAGTACAATTATACTTTTTGTTTATGTATTTATACTTTTACACAAACAGAAATGTACTTTTCTATTCCTTCAATAAATGCCCCCAATGTGACCAGTTCAGTTTATATTGCTGCCTCAATCTGTGGTTGGCTCAGTTGGCAGGATGGCATTGTTGTGATGCCAACTGTGCGGGTTCACTTCCCGGCTAAGATTAAAATGTGGGTCCTGTCTTCTCAACCTCACCCTTTCACCTGACGTGTGGTGACCATCTGGTTGAACTCGGCACCGGTTATCTCTCTGAGAGACCAGTCCTATGGTCTTCTGGGACTGCTGCAACGTTATTGAGGCTCTGTAGAATGAGGCTTTTGTGAAACTCATACTTCATATTATTAACTGTACTTTCAAAACGATCTGTCATGGAATGAGATGGGCTCTTCAGGTAGCAAAATTTACTTCATACTGGTACCATCTCTCCATCTCCTCCCCAGGCAATGTTAGGTTCAGTCTTGGCTTGGAGACGAGCTAAGCACATGTGCTGAAGCATTGCACATAAACATGGTCCTTTAAACATTAAGTAAGTAAAATGCAAATGTTCTTTTCTTAGCCTGCACTGGTGACTTAAGGTTGGTTATTTTGATTTTGGATCGGTAACAAATCGCATTGAAGCTGCACTGTTACTCGTGCTGGTTAAATGTTAGTTAACTAAGGAAAATTAATTAGTGATTGCTGAATATTGTGAATGAATGACTGTCTTCTGTTTAACTGGCAACTACTTTCAGACCTGTAGTGAAATGACATTGTTTTTCTATCAGTATAGATGGGATTGTTCCTGTTCATAGCTGAAATATTCAGAAAGAATAAAATGCTGTTCTCAAGTTGTTGGATATAAAGTATAGTCACAGGATTAGTAAAAAAAGAACATTTTAAAATGCTTTTCTTTTGCAGCGCCCTTATCCAGTTCTTTCAGATATTCTATGAATATCAGCAGAATGACTTCTATGCTACAGGAGAGGTGGGTATTCTAATCTTTCTATTTGTGTATTTAACAAACCTTTGCCTCTGTTTTGACTCTTTTTTGGGGAAAAAAAACTGATATTTATTGGTTACATGGTGTGCAAAAGGTACAACTATATAGTTTTTTTTTGACCATTTTTCCCTTCCCTTCCAGGATATGTTGGTATATATGATATGACTTTTTGATGGTTTCTGTGTTTGTAATTTCAATATATAAGCTGGAACATTGTGAGGAAGGTATATGCCTGTTCAGGGTGTTAGTCGAGAACACTTTGGAGGTTGACCTTCTATGTTAATGCAAAATTCATAAAATGCTTTGGAGATTCATTAAGTGTAATCATGTAAACGGTGAAAAGATTCATGATCAATGTCTGTATAAAGTAATTTTGGAGCAACATCAATGATCATTAAATACAATTGTTTGGGAAATCTGTTGTGACTTGATTGTACTACTACTGCCAGCTTCCATTCTGTTTTGTCTGTTTTCTGACACTCATATGGATTGGTTAGTACCACTCATGCACTCAACTCAGAAAATTGTGATATTAAGCCCTTCTCTGATTTGAATGAATGAAAGTCAGAAGGCACTGTTACAGGCATGCATTCTTCAAATTAGTTCTGTCTCTCCCTTTCTGTTAGTTAGCAATTATTGACACCAAAACACAAAAGAAAGAAATTTGCCTTTGACCTTGTATTCTAAGCTGAAACTTTGGTCCAGTGTTGCACAGTCAAAGTGTACTCTTTTACATAAAATATCAAGCCATTTGGATGTAGCAAGTCCCATGGTACTACTGAATTTAGAGTAGAGAGTTTGTCTCAGTGTACCAGCCAACATTCGATCCCTCAGTCAATGCCACATAAGGTTTCAATTAAAGAAGCACAGATATCTCTGAGGATTGTAAATGTGGACATTAGAGAGATGGGGAGGGAGTGGGGAGGCCTAGTGGCATTATCACTAGACTATTAACAATAGAGATCCAGGTAATGGTATGGGACCTCTGGTTTGAATCTTATCGTGGCAGAAGGTGGAATTTGAATTCAGTAAAGAAAATCTGGATTCAGAATCCAGTGATCATGAAAATCTTGTCAATTGTCACAAAAACTTATCTGGTTTACTAATATCCTTTAGGGAAGGAAACAGCTGCCTTTGTCTGGCCCATATGTGACTCCAAATCCACAGTAATGTGGCTGACTCTTAACTGTTCTCTGATCAGTTAGCGATTGGCAATAAATGCTGCCCTGGCCAGCGAAGTCCAATTACAGTCAGTGAATTTTTTTTAAAATTACATTTGAAAATGAAGGTATAGCTAACGTAGGTCAATGAGCACAAAAGTATTGGAGAATGGGATTTGCTGCAAGCTATGCCGTGGGCAGCAAAGATTTTAACACCCTCAAGTTTATTCTTTATTCATTAATGGGCATCGCTGATCAGGCAGCATTTATTGCCCATCCCGCAGTTAAGAGTCAACCACATTGCTGTGGGTCTGGAGTCACATGTAGGCCAGACCGGGTAATGATGGCAGTTTCCCTCCCTTAAGGACATTAGTGAGCCAGATGGGTTTTTCCTGACAATCAACAATGGATTCGTGGTCATCATTAGATTCTTAATTCCAGATATTTTTTAATTGAATTCAAATTCCACCATCTGCCGTGGTGGGATTTGAACCCACGCCCCCAGAACATTACCTGGGTCTCTGGATTAACAGTCCAGCGATAATACCACTAGGTCACCACCTCCCCATCGTTTATGGTGGGTAGAATGTAGGGGACGAGTCAGGAGTGCATTGGAATAGTCCAGTCTAGAGGCAATGAGGAATGAATGAAGATTTCATGGGCAGTTTCTCTCTCAGTTTGGGAAAACATTCCAAAGCTTTGCAAAGCCATATTCTTCAGCTGGTGAAAGCAGACTTTCATTCATTGGTGACCGCCCTGAAGAGCACCTACAAACTGTGGTAGAAACTTGCTCTGTAATCTAACTGCAATTTGGTTTGGGACTGGAGAAACCAAATGCTTTGTTTTAACCAATAGAACTTTACCTTGAGATTTTTCATTTTTAACTAAGAACATAAACATTATTGTGTGCAAATACTTAAACAAAACAAGCATTATCAACTTATCTCCTTATCAACTTAACAATATGGTTTGTGACTATGTAAGTTATCCATTCAATTGCATCTTGCTTTCTCTGGTACTGTTCTTATAAGACACAACCATCTTTAAGATATTTACTTCTGTAGGGGCTATTCCTCAGTATGCCCTAGTTCTCTGGAGATAACGTTAACTCTCCTCCCTTCTAGCTATTCTGAGGTAAGACTTCCATTTACCATCTCATGATTGCGCTCTTGACAAGCAAATGGATCCCACAGAATGTGACAAATGCAAAGACCAACATTGGGCAATATCATGAAAATGAAATTAGGCTGTCCTGGTGATGGCATTTATATGACATTGGAAGTTCATTTCAAGAACAAATGTGATAACAGACCTGTGAAGAGATTGGATAAATCCCAGACTGTTCCAGAGAAAGGGAAGGAGTTGGCAGGGAGGGAGCAGTGTTTAGAATGGGGACCGAAAACAAAGGCTTTTGCCTCATCAAGATTTAACATTTTTGAATGTTTTTGCCCTGGATATCGCACAATCTCTCTGATAATTTAGCATCGGGGAGGAGTCAAGAGAGGTGTCGTTGAAGTAGAACTGGGTGTCATCAGTATAAGTGGGAACATTAATGCTGCACCTTTGGATGATGTTGGTCAAATGTATTGGGCTAAGGAGAGATCCTTGGGGATAATTGTGCAGCAGCAGGAAGAGAAGCCATTGCAAATGATTTTCTGGCTACAGTTAGAGAGCTAAGAATGGAACCATGTGAGTGCAGTCGGACACAGTTGGCTAACAGTGGCGTGGCATTGGAAGAGGATGGTGTGCTTAACCATGTCAAAAACTCAGATAGGTAGAGGAGGACGAGAAGGAAGTTTAGATTTGCTGCAGTCATTTGTGATTTCAAAAAGAGCTATTTTGCTACTAGGGCAGAGTCAGAAATTGAATAGTAGGGATTCAAACAAGGATTCCCGTGACCGGATGGGAATGGATAAGCTGGGATTGGTTTCTTTGGAACAGACGAGACTGAAGGGAAGCTTAAACTGACATATGTAAAATTATGATGGACCACGATGGAATGGATAGGAAGGATCGTTTCCTTTAGGAGAAAGATCAAAAACAAGGGAATCATAGACATAATTTTATACATGCAGTGTGCATGTGTATTTGTATTGGAAGGTGGCTGAAACCTGGACTGGAAATGGGCATGGATAATTCAAATGTTTTAGAGATTCTTCCAATATCAGAAGACTAGTTTCAAAGCTACACCAGAGTTAGGAGTGATTTCTATGCTACAGAAGAGCTAGATGTTTGTATTTTTGCATTCAATAATTTTTTGCAATCAATGCAACTCTTAACAATAAACTCTTTATAAAAAAAAAAGACGCACTATTTTTTGGTGGCACAAATTATGCGGAAGAGGAAAGTTTCAAAATGATAGGTGCATATGTATTGTAAATGTGGTGAATAGTCCCCATAATCATTTGAAGAATTTTGCTTTTTGACAAAGTTATAATGAGTGCAGAGTATGAAACCTGCCCCTCACTCAATCACCCAAATCTGCCCAATGTTATTGTGAAAGGCTTGAATAATTTTCATGGTATCAAGGAGCTTTCCACTGCTCTTTGTGGTAGAGTGTTACAAAGATTAATAACCTTCTGAGGTCAGGAAGTGCATTTGAGCTGCCTGGACACCAAAAGAATTACTGCAGGAACTTGCTTGCAGTGGTTTTCAGAGCACTTCCCTTTTAAGGAGCACTGAATAAGAGCAGAGTCTGATGTATACCAGAGGTTCCCACTTTTTCAAATGTTAGATAGGTGCCTGCATGTTTTATGAAGGAGCACTGTTCACCTATAACCCAGTCCACTTCAAAATCACGATGAGAATTTCAGGAGTGGAAGCTCACTAATAAATCTGTACCGTGATTTTGATCATGAAATTGCACAATTCCACTCAATGGAGGGGATGAAAATCAACCACTTTGATTTTCATTTTCCTTATTTTCCTCACATAATCATGGAAGCAGAATAGTGACCTTAAAAATAATACTCTCTCAGGTTCTGTAGTCTTTCTCAGTCATCTCAGTGCCTGGATTGGTAATCTTGTAAATGCATAATTGGTTAATAAGTAGGTAATTGAGCCCAAATCGTTTGGTCTTTGTTCAGTCAGAGATCAGATATAACCTAGAAGATGTGTGTCAGGACTTGTTAAAAGTCCCGGTGCACTGACTATATGGTAATTGGCTGGGAAGTTTAAACATTCAATGGGAAATAATCCAACACCTGGAACACCCTGTGAAAGTCCCCTGTTCTGATTAAGAGTCCAGAGACTTTGGAGGGCCCAACTTAGTTAGCTTTATCGTTAACCTGGACAAATTAGAGGAATAAAAATCTGCTCTAACATCTGGCACTGTGAAACTGACCATCCCACCCTCACGTTCCCAGCAGATCATCCCAATAAATTACAGTGACCTCAAATACTCAGCCCAATCCAACACTCTCCACTCCACCTGCCATCCGACTTCCCCACCAACAACTGACCGACTCAACCCTCCCATCTGCCATCCTACCTCCTGATCCACCTGCCAGTCTGTTTCCCAAATACAAGCCTGCCACTCTACATCCTCACCCCATTGCCTTCCATGTGTACTTTACTCTGTAGCTGTCAAAAAGGCTTTGGGGTCTTTAAAATGGGTTTACTTGCTGGAGTACGGCAGCTAACGCTGTACAAAGGGAGCGTGGTTTCTACAAAGATCCACTCCAATATGGTTTGTGAAGGGTAAGATTATTAGAATGTTCCTGTTGGGATGAATCCCGCATTGAAACTTGGGTCCAGACGATCCTGGGTAAGGAGGCATCGATTTGGCTGACCTGGGTGGGAGGTGGGATCAGAAGATCCAGAGCAATATAATCTGGTGCTGAGCTGTGCTGGCCAAAAAAGTCTTAAGGTTGATACCTGTTTATGGCTAATTAATAAACAGCTCAAAATTATGGGATTGTAATATTTGAGCTTTGTGGTCTTTGATGAGATGGGATTTCTTTGATCAGAGCTGCAGTTCTGGTTATCTGTCAATAATGCCGTCTTCACTACAATGAATATTAACTAAGAGCAACATTAGACTCAACTGAGGTGTGCACTCTCGAATTCAAGCCTGCTGTTTAGACCTAAGTGAGGAAAGAGCACTTGAATGAGACCTCACTGGGCTCCTGATACCTACAAAGCTGTGGCCTACCACAAGTATCAGTACGCAAAGAAAAAAGGAGTGATGGTGGGCAATTACACATTTTTATTGAGATCATGTACATAACTTGTGATCATGTTTTTCTGCCACCATTTGCTGTTGTAATCTGATATGTCAATATTTCCCATAAAATTCTGATGTACCAAATGTCACAAGAATTTTGGGCACTGTAAGGTAAGGTTCTGAAGTATGTCTTCAATTCTGACGTCAGCTTGTGATGAGATCAGTTATATCTATCAATGCATAGGCAGATTATTTATATATAATTATGACCCAATATTGAATACAGTTTTTCCTTCAATTACCTAATCAAAGTTTGGGGTGTTTTATGTTGCTAATGATAATTTGCATAAAATCTATTTTGTCTTCTTTTAAAAGCATTGGTTTTATTGGAGGAACATAGGAAGTTAATAAAATCATGCCAAGCAGTGGGGTCATGAATGGAACGAAGATGTTTTACTGACGTTTTTTACGTGTGTCTTTTAATATGTGAATATCTTTAGTCCTATGCAGGAAAGTATGTGCCTGCAATTGGTTATTATATTCATACCCACAATCCTACTGCTAAAGTGAAGATCAACTTCAAGGGAATGGCTATTGGCGATGGTCTGAGTGATCCCGAAGTAGTAAGTGGTTTTGTTATAAATTAAGCAGGATGCTTGAGTTGTAATTTAGTTTTATCATGATAAAAGGAAGTCAGTTCTCCGACTACTTCCTCATAACTTCAAGACACTAATTCTTACCATATGTTCATCATGCCAGTAACTACTAGATTGCTTTAAATTATACCTTGCTGACCATGTTGATTGCAGCCTTTGACTTTGAAAAATCACTCTTGAAATTTTGAAATTGAATTTTTGTAAGGCAACAAAGTTACTCCTTTGTTGTATGTCTGTTGCACAGATGTTAGGTGGTTATGCAGAGTTCATGTACCAGATTGGGATCATCGATGAGAAACAAAAGCAGTACATCCAGCAGCAGACAGACATAGCAGTGCATTACATCCAACAGAAGAAATGGAGGGAAGCCTTTGAAGTATGTACCCGAATCTTGGTCTTGGCCTTAAAATTGGAAACATCTGACTAAAATGAGGGTCAGTGGAGAGCATGATGGGAGGTCAGAAGTTTGTTGCTCGATGGCATGTTGTTGGCTTAAAAGCAATCTGTTTCATAAACGCTCCCCCTTTCCAAACCTTTTCAAAATGCAATATGATCTATGTTCTCTATAGAGCAATTCTGAATTGTATATTTAGTGCTCAGAGTAGAACGCTTTTGTACTTGTCATGAGATCAATGAGTTAATGACAACTGAAAAGCATTAGGAGAAGGATTCAATACTGTAATCTAATGCTATGAAATAAAAGTCCGTGCCTGATTAAATGCTGCCCTCATTTCTATAAAAGTAAGAGCAATTTAAATCAAATCTCATTCTATTGATTGGCAGGCTTTCCTTTTCTAGTTCACTGTGCTATTTATTGTTCCAAATATGACGATAATTTAATCAGCCCTGCAAAATCAGAATGAGCTGGCTGTTGATCTATCCCTGTAGTTCACATTAATCATTTTTCTTACTGTAATCTATCAAAAAATCAAAATCAAAAATGATATGGTTTCATATTGGAATAAGTTCTGGTGAAAAATATATTGTGCCAGAATGTTTATTATATTTTTAATACTCTTGCAGTTCACCACTCTCACAATAACCCTGTTATCTACAACCTATTTTGCAGGTATTATGAACAACTTCATTCACAATTACATTTGGTGACAACCTTTTCTCTTCCACAATAAAATATGAGCACTTTCCCTTCCCTTTCATTCCCCATTTTCTGCTATCTCTCCTAAAGGCTGTGCCACATTCTGCAATCAAAGTTTCACGGGTATCTGCTATTCTTCACTACCTCATCATTCTGCTACCCTTCACTTGTGCTCCTGGGTTCCAAGAGACATAGGGCTGCAGGAGACATTGTAGCTATATGTGATCTTATCTTCACCTTTTGTGTGCTTTACACTTTCCAGAAAGTGTAACTGGAGAGTAACTTGGAATGGGCTTGCTCTAACCCAGCGAACTTGGTGCCAATTGTTGTACCCCTAGCTCCAGATTCTCTGGAAGTATCTTAGGGCAAGCAGGTTGAGGATATTACTGAGAATTTCCTGCAGTTCAGGGCTCACTTATATCACGTGTACATTTAATCATAACTGGTGTATTTACACACATGCAGCAATTAACAGATTACATAAATGAAATGTTCGCAATTTATAGGTATCTGAGTATTGAAATACACCCTAGTTATTGGATCCAGCAATAAATAGTTTGTTTAAAAGGAATGTTGATTATACACAAATTAATTTTTCAAACCTGTGAAGGGAATAACTGCTTTCTAAGCACTGTTTTTAACCAACATTGCAACTTTATAATAAATCTTCTCAGAAGATCATTTCTGACCTATTCAAGGTTTGTTTTCAATCATTAGCCATAATTAACGCAATAGTTAATCTCCTATAGAGATAGCAGGAACTGTCGATGCTGGAGAATCTGAGATAACAAGGTGTAGAGCTGGATGAACACAGCAGGCCGAGCAGGAAGGCTGATGTTTCGGGCCTAGACCCTTCTTCATAAATGCCTAATCTCCTATGATTGCTACAATATGTACATTCTTTTAAAGGCTCATGGGAGAGATTTATGCCATCTGAATTAATGAAAATCTCCTGTCTCAAAATGGACCAGTGTTTGAATACAAAAATTTGTTTTATTTACTTGACTTTATTCCATGATTTATATTATAAGTTTGGCTTATACTAACAGGTATTAAAAAGTATTTGCTATAGATGTGTATTTACAGGATGGTATTTCATGAGGAAATACATGTTTTGTTGTTTAAGAAGGCCTTGTTAAACTTGTCATTCACAGAATCAGAGAATCATGCAACACAAAAGGGGGCCCATTGAGCCTTTGTTAGCATCTGCCAAGGGCAGTCCAGTTAGTTTCATTTGCCCTCCTCTTCCCCATATTCCTGTCATTTATCTCCCTCAGGCATTTATATAATTTCCTTCTGAAAGCTGCACTGTTGTATCAGCTGGTATGTTCCAAATCTTAACTGTTCAATGAATAAAAAAGCTTTGTTGCATGTCACTTCTGTTTCTTTTGCCAATCACCTTAGCTCTGTGCTTCTGATCTTTGACCTTTCAGCCTTTGGCAAGTTTATTTTTATTTCCTCTATCTAAATTATTTCAGGTAAACTGATCATTACAAGTTAATCAAAGCGGTTAAATTGGACTTTGCAATTTTAAACAAAAAACCACATGCAAAATAATAGTTTCCTATAACAAATTAAAATAATTGACTTGAGGATGACTATGGCTGAATTTATCTCCACATGTGATAATTTTAGTTTCAAGTATAGCAAATGCAATGCCTCTTAAAATACTACAGAATAGACTTGTGTTACAGCTGCTTGTAGTTAAAAGGGATATGTCACAGACCCATGGTGCAAATTAATTCTGTGGAAGAAAGGAAGAGGAGGAAATTATATAAATACCAATAATGACCTATCTATATATGGGAGCCTCTACGAAATGGATGTATGCATGTTCAAACATTAATCAGCCAGTATTCTGATATAAACTGATTAGATAGGTACATGGATTCACTTACTGCTCTGTTGCTTCTTGGCTGGTTAATTGACTAGCAATTGGAATATATTAACTTAGATCATTTATACTGAAGGTGGAAAAATTCCCCCAATACAACCTTATTGTTGATTTAATTTGTTCATCCTGGCTGTGTTACAGCTCTGTCAAAATCCATCACTTGTTGATGTTCTCTCACATGCTTCCATTGGATTAGATGGGTTTATCCTTCCTAAGCTAACAATATTGAGACAGAGTGGTGCTTATACTGGCCAGCACACATCAGTTACAAGATAGTGAGGTTGTTTTTGCATTTGAAGAAGAGGAATTAGCATGCTTTTCATTCAAGAAGGTTACTATCAGGGCTAATTTGTTCCCTAATGTGACAGTATTTGTAGGTGGCGTTGTTTATTTCAAATAATGCTGTAGGTCAGGTGATCTTGTAGAGAGAAAATGCTTTTGTTTAAAAATTAGCATTGACTTAATAGCCTAATTCTGTATCATAACCTTCTAAAATTTTCAAGTACAGTGCTCCTTTCAAGAGTAGTGCAATGTCTCTTGCAGAACATAATTTTGAGGGGACATAAGCAACTCAGTAAAGGCAAGAATGTCCTCTGTAACTGGAACCTACAAGTCGTCGTCATTACAGTTTTTGGAAAGGACTGTTGGATAAATTTACAGAGTGAGAACCTGTGTTAATTTTTTTTCCCCCATAATCCGATGCATTGGTGCCACTTTTAACTCCCTATATCTTCCATTACTATCCTGAGACCAGCTAACTCACTGTGGTCCACTGATCAATTTTGAAACTTTATGTTTTCCTATGATTGAATTGTTCACAACAGGAGCTATCTGAGATCCCTATGACTTATTTTTACTTCTGAATAATTCTATTGTCATGTTTTTAAAAGTCAAGTCTGCATGTATTTATTAATATTTCAGATCCAATTTAAAAATAAATAATTAATTGATAAACAGGTTATAATATTTCCTGTTTCATGCTTGGTGTGTTTGTTATTTCTTCCGTTCAGGTGTTTGATACTTTGTTGAATGGTGATACAACTGAAAATCCATCCTTCTACAAGAATATCACAGGGTGTGCCAACTATTACAATTTTCTGCAGTGCACAGTGAGTAACTGAAATTTAAAAACGTTCTTGTGATCTTAGTGTATTTTAGGATATCCTCTGCATTTCGATTGAGAAACTGCGAAAGATAACAGAATTGAAAAGTTTTACATGATGGCATCTTGCACCAAGGTAGTATTGTGGCATAAGATGGATTACTTCAGTGAAGCAAATCTAAAGTATAACCATCATACTTCAGAAAAATTCTTAGTGTGATAATCACCTGACCCAGCAAGTACTGTAAAACCAAAGACTGTAGTCCATGAAAACTGCTGCAGTACTTAGAACCTATTATCCACTCCACATTTACTGTAATACTCTGTTATATCCTTTTTATAAAATGAGCAAGCTGCTGTTGGAGTTCTTTTTTTTTTAATCTTTGGCATTTGAAGATTAAGCAAATGTGGAGTATCATTTCCTCTGGTATTAATTGTTGTTGGATTTATAAGTGTCCTTTTTCCTTCTGTTTCTCTTACTTCTTTCTCTTTAATCTCCTTATTCTGCTATCTGTCTGTGATTTTACATTTAACTAGCTATTCTAGCTTACACTTGATGCTTCAAACTTGGAAAGCTTCAGGAAGTATTTATCAATCGGATTGGTTAATGAATTCAGATTGTTTGCTGAATTCTCTGTAGGGGCAGCTATGCCAAAATCAGTTCCTAATGGCAGCATGTTCCAATGGAAGATCCTAAAGGAAATCTATTGACTATTATAAGTGTAATGGAAGCCTAATGTCATTTATTTACAGGTGACTGCAATATCCAGACCAATATCTTTTTGATTATCCCATGCAGTACTCCATATGCCTACCACTGAATGCCTTGTACAACAGCAATGCAATGTTTTTCATGTTGCATTTAAAACTGCACAATTCCAACATGGTGTACAAAATACTTGTCTTTCACGGGCAATGTGCAGAGATTACCAGCCATTGACTGATACATAGCTCTATTCTTAATATTTATTCATTGCAATAGAAATTCGGAAAGTAGTATGGAAATCATTAGCAGAAAAAGATTCTACACCTTCTGTTAAGTCCCACTCCCAGGCTAAAAGGGTTGGCAGGCAAACTCTTCTTTGCTCCCTACCAATGTGCCTGTGAAACTCAATGCTGAGTGCACTGAAGAAAAAAACCCTTGGAATAACCTCAGTGGTTCATACTGTTGCCTCAGCCCCAGGGCCCTGGGTTCGATTCCAGTCTTGGGTGATTGTCCGCATAGTGTTTCCATGTTCTCCCCGTGTCTATGTGGGTTTCCTCCGGGTGCTCCAGTTTCCTCCCACAGTCCAAGGCTATGCAGGTTAGGTGGATTGGCCATGTTAAATTGCCCGTAGTGCCCAGGGATATGTGGGTTAGGTGGATTAGCCTTGGCGAATGCAGAGTTATGGGGATAAGATTGGGGAATGAGTGTTCTCTTCAGAGAGTCTGTACGGTTGATGGGCCAAATGGCTTACTTCCAGACTGCAAGTTTCTATGATTCTATGATAATATCCATCCTACAATTAAGTGATGAAAGTTGTCAAAATACCATTTGACCTTTCCCTTCAAATCTTTTTTTGTTACCAACTTTTGAAGACCAGGATCTGAAAACTCTTTGAGAGTAAAGCATGGACCATTGGGCAGACATTAATATACATGACACATTACATTAAATAAACTGTCAGCATCATATTTATAATTTAAAAACCCTTGGGTAAGATTATTGCTCGGGAACCCTATTGATTCATTACCAGGGAACTGAAAGCTGAAACTTGTGTTTTACGCCAGGTCTGTTTCTGAAGTTTTTGAGTCACATTCTGAAAAGTACAATTAATAGTAGTGTGAAAGCTTTGACTGTTCAGACTTTTAATTCAAATAACTTTGTTTTCTGTCACATTTGGTAAATTATGTTTTGTTATTTTGGTTACTCCCAAAAAAAGATTTTAAGTATGTTAAATATAATATAACTTATTAATAGGTATCACTCAAAAGTGGTCAGGTTGGAATGATTGGGTACTAAAAGCTAATCATGTGCAGCAGTTTATAATTTTTCAATATAAGTTTACAGTATGAAATGCCAGTTCTACGAATTGCTATGCAGCATAAATAAAGAACATATGTATCCTTAAATGGTATTGTTCTTTACAAAACATGCTGCCTGTTTTTTTTCTTCCCAATCTCCAGCAAAAATCAAACATTCGGTATCTAGGATTTCCTACTTAAGGAATTTCAGACAATTGATCAGATTCCTACCTCACTTTCACCCTCAACCTTGGACACTCCAAGCACTCTTACATGTAGATACTTCCTGGTCCTGGCTGTAGCCTTCAAGTTCTATTTTGATATGAAACTAAATTATAGGGACATGGCATAACTCACCTTGCTGGATTTTAACTTTTTTTTTGCGTTTGAAAGGTTTTACTAGATGGCTAACAGATATGAAGCAAACATTCAAAGAAGCAGCTCTAATCTTACCCAAGGTTGCAATTTCAACAATTGTTTAAAAACTGTTCAGTGTAGGAGTGAAGAATTGGAAGGAATGCACCGGTCAACAGAAAGTTGTGTGTCACTGGTTCTATTCTGCAATGTAGAGAATTAAGTCTAGTCTAATATCAGACTTTATGACAAGTATCATTTGCCGAGTAGCAGAGAACAAATTTGTACGTCTGCCCAATAAGATTTACATGCAGTTTACAAGCATTTCCTGTGTCATTGACAATAGCAAGCACTGGGAATATGAAGGGGATATTTCACCAAGTGTTACCAAATGAAATCATGTCTGGGTGATCATGCACATGTAATTTGCTACTGCGACTCAGATGTTAAGTCAAATTCCTTTCACCTTGAATTTTATGTGATCACCAAATGTTTTTGTGTGAGATTGTACATGGCAATGAAAAGCCAAGTGCAATCTTCAAACCAGGTGATGTTAGAGAATGGGGTAAACGGGCCCAGACAAAGAGAAAATTGCGAAGCCAGAAGAAGTCAAACAGGAAGAGTTGGTGGGGATAAGGTGAAGCGGGAAGGTACACCAAATTTAAAGGTCTCTGGGTGGGATAGGATTGTGGTGAGTGGGATGAATACACTCTCTGCTACAGTGGTGATTTTCTCTTGTACTTAGCAAACTGGGAATTTCTAACAAAAGCCCGTGAAGTTGAAGGTATTCGAAGTGAAAAATTTGAACTGCTTAGTCAATGTCTTTTAACTAATCTTATGTAATGTAATTCTATTCATATTGTAACTGCAGGATTTCAAAATCTTGTATGAGCATGAAGTTATGTAATGTTTCCATGGATTTATTTTTAACAGGAGCCCTTGGATCAAAGTTACTTTGGTAACTATTTATCACGGCCTGAAGTGAGAAACTCGATTCATGTGGGAAATCTGACCTTCCATGATGGATCAGAAGTGGAGAAATATCTTTTAAATGATTTTATGCAATCAGTGAAGCCATGGGTAGCCATATTAATGAATAATTATAGGGTAAGTGGCACTTCTGTAGAGGTTAGGCCACTGAAACAAATTCTCAAAAGATGAATTTTCACTTATTGTTATAGATTTATAGAAGCTGCACTTTGTGAGCACAATACCAGCATTTTGGTCAGATTGGAGAGCACAGTATAATGGTGGAACATAAAACAAGAATGTTGAGCACTTGCACTTACAGTGCATGTATAAAATCATTCCAAAACATTTCGGACAGATGTAATAAAAAAATTGTCACTGAGTTAAGAAAGGATATATTGAGGGATTGTCAACAAGAGGGATTTTTTTTAACTGAGCTTTAGAAAAGGTGTGTGAGAAGGAAGTAGGGTAGTTTAGGTCAGAAAGGAAATTCCACAGCTTAAGGTCACCAGCGGAAGCTATTGTTGCCTAATGGTCAGATAAAGGGAAGAGGCAATGCAGTAGAGAATAGAGACCTAGAAACATGAGTGCGGTGCTTCTAGTGGGCAGGACATTACAATGATGGAATTGGATGAGGCAGTGGAAAAATTTAAACAGCAAAGATGGGAATTTTAATCTGAGATGAAGTTGAATAGAGATCTCATTTCAAAAGCAAATGAACAGCAACTGAAGGGAGAAACTGTTTGCAACATTAACTAGCTTATGGACCAGGAATGAAGAGGCTGGACACCAATAAGTGGATTAGGAAAGTATAAACAGATGCAAATCACTGCTCATTGTTTTCGTTAAAAGCAAGGAATTTGTTTGTGTTAGGGCGTTTTAAAGTTTATTGTGCGACTGTGCATGTGTGGTAACTTAAAGGAGCCAACTGGTGAGAAGTTTCAGGCAGCTGTGCAGCATAGAGGGAGCATCAGATGCAAACAGTGAGGAATATAAGGAGACGGCCAAAGATGGCATTGTCATTAATCCAAACTAGGGCCCAAGAGAGAAATTATTTGCCCTGTTGATTCTCCTGTATCAGATCCCTTACTGCCTCACCCCACCTCTTCATATTTTATACTACCCTTCACATCCCTGGATACCCAGAATCGGGAGCCATCATCACAATGGGGTTGAATTGTTTTATATTAGCTCGGCAAAATCTCTTGGCTTTTATATTCTACCGTGTAAGGCACATTGAAAGTTCAGCTTTGTATGATACGCTTTACAGTCACAGTTTTGACAAGCAATCACATACAACCTGGTCATTCATACTATGTAATCAGCTCCACTCCTTTGAACCTGGCCATTTGCAATACCTGGGCAACAACAACAAGCAGTGCAAATAATATCCCCTTGTACAAATGAAAATACCTTGAACGAACAATGGTGTATTCTATTCTTGTGTGACTCCTGGCTTCACTTCCAAGTTTAATCATGGTAAAATCTTCCAATAAATGAGCACCAACACATTCTCTGCAATAATGTGCAACTCCTATCCACACAAGTGGTCTCCTGTTATTGTAAAAATACACTTTGCTACTGATGGTTTTCATTTTAAATTGAAACTAGCCATAGTTATAAATACTCAGCATGGAACAAATAACAGAAGAGCAAAAGACTACAGGTTCTGAACATGGGCCACTTTTGTTTGGGGGTTATGTTTTGGTTTTCAGCAGATCCTTTTTCATTCTCAAACTCATTTAATTGTCCATTCAATTAAATATTAACAGTATCTTCTACGTTTGTTTTGACGTATTGGATATTTACACTCTCAAGCAGAATTGGAAGAATTCAACAGTATCTTCAATATCATCACCCATCCATTGCATTAATTTGCAAGTAATTTATTACCCCAGTGATTTCCAGATTTCCTGGGTCCCAGTTAGCTGAAGGTTCTTTTTGTGGAGAGTGTTAAAATTGTTTTCTCTGCAACTTTCCTCTGTCTCCCAGACTTATCCCACTAGCACCTTTGCAGTCTCCCTGTCATTCTTTCCCCCGCAACTTATCTCCACCTCTACTTCCCCTTAAAGCCTCTGTCTGTGTTCACCACTAACCATTGGGCCTATACCATCATGGGGGCCCAGCCCAAGATGGCACTGACTCTTAAGGGCCTCAATGAGCTCACAAACAAACACACAATGGGCACGCCACTCCAGGACAAAGTAGCAGTTTTCCAAATCTGATTGTCCTGAAGTAAGAGCCCAAGTCCCTGTGCCCGTCAGTTCTGAAGGTAAAGGATGCATCCTGGATGAAGAAGACCATCCTTGGCCAAGCACTCTCCTGGGCAGGTATAGTCCCACTGAAGGATGACAGGAATTGTCAAAGCTCTATATCCACATAAGGCCTCAAACCATGGCCTGGGAAAAGTCACTCATGGGGGGTAACTGGCGAAAAGTCTCCCCTGTGTGGGGTTTGATTCCTCCAATCACAGGCTGTTTGCTGCTATTAGCTTCAGCAGTAACCACAGGATAGAAGCAGCCTCTAAATTGGAAAACCAGCAGGCAGTTACAAAAGGAAACGCTGGTAGTGAGAACATTGCCATAGGGGAGGAGCCCCTTTAACTGGGGGCCAGGCTGAGATAGGACTGTCTTTAGCTTGAGGGCTTTTGGATGTGGTGGGTGATGTAGGTTTGAGAGGGGCCTGCCTTTTGCTAGGTCTGGATGAACAGGAGGCAGCTGTGGAAGGGACCAGGAGTTTGAGGGCACGTGCATGGCTGCAAAAAGGTGGGGGTGGGATGGGATGTGGGATTAGGAATCGGGGGGGTGCGATGTGGGATTAGGAATGAGGGGGGTGGGATGTGGGATTAGGAATGAGGGGGGTGGGATGTGGGATTAGGAATGGGGTGGGTCGTGGGGGTAGGACAGGATGGCCTTTATTGTCATGTGCACTCAAAAGTGCAGTGAAAAGTTTGGAATGTTGCCTCTCGGCGCCATCTTAGGTACTGGGTACCTAGGTACAGATACTTTGAGTAATGTTACAGAATTGAAATCGTTTAAAAAAAGATCAGCATAGGAATACAGAGTTTAAACATCCAGAATACGTATAAATAGTGCCTTCTAAGTACTCAAGTTACAATCCTTTTCTCTTGAATCCATGCGTGCTAGGCTTCAGAACACGAGGCCTCGATGCCTCCACGCCTCCACACTTGCATCCAGGACTTGCCCCGGCTGGCCCACACTCACTCTGCTCCCGCGCTCGCTCTGCTTCTGCCCCGGCCGCAACTCGCTTCTGGGACTCGGCCTGCGTTTGCTCAGCTCCCACTCCGGCTGCAACTCGCTTCCAGGTCTTGGGAAGAAACGCAGGAGAGAACAGCCTGTGATTGGAGGAATCAAACCTCACACAGGGGAGAGTTTTCACCAGTCACCCCCATGAGTCACTTTTCCCAGGCCATGGGTTAAGGCCTTATGTGGATTCTGAGCTTTGACAATTCCTGTCATCCTTCAGTGGGGCTGTACCTGCCCAGGAGAGAGCTTGGCCATGGATGGTCTTCATCACCCAGGATGCATCCTTTACCCTCAGAACTGATGGGCACAGGGACTTGGGCTCTTACTTCAGGACAGTCAAATCTTGGAAAACTGCTACTTTGTCCTGGAGTGGAGTGCCCATTGTGTGTTTGTTTGTGAGCTCATTGAGGGCTTTAAGAGTCAGTGCCATTCTGGGCTGGGCTCCCATGATGGTATAGGCCCAATTATTAGCAGTGTACACATTCATCTTTCCCTGGTTCTGATCAAGAGGTTATGGGACATTATATGTTCCAGTGGGAAGCTATGGAAAAAGGTGAAGAGGTCCTGTGGATGGGAGGTTTACTGAGGACGAAAGGCAAGTGAATTCAGGGAAAGATGAGCAAGATAAACTGAGATGAAGATGAAGATCACTGAGAATGAAAGGTCGCTCCATTTAATTGGCTGAGAGAGGAAAGGAAGGAGGATACCTTGGGCTAAAAATTGGAGTGAGGGTTGGGGATCTGGTAGGCAATTTGGGTTTCAAGGACAGTCAAGGGATAGGTGAGATGCTTGAAGGACGTGGAGTTGTGGGAACCAGTGAGATCTGATGTGGTAACAGGGTTACACAACAGCTGCAGCAGTTTAAATGAGGCAAATGATGGAAAGTGTAGAGAGGCGGGAGGCTTCAATAAAGGAAAGATGTTGCTAAATGAAGTACATAAGGCAAATGTGTAATAATAAACACAAAAGCATAGATAATATTGGGTTATGTTTGACTTGGTTTGGAGTTTTTCTTTCTCTAAACGTGGAATTACTAATCACTAAAAGGTGCATATTTAACTAGCTAACAAGAGTAGCACAGTCTATAATTAAATAAGCTTTGTGACAGCTAAACGAATTTAAAATAGGCATCACTTTACAGGTTTGGCTTCCATTCTGTTAATGTGATTGCATGTAATGCAAGTTTGGTTCAGTTGTTGTGTGGAAAAAAATTAAGATCAGGAAATTGCATTTTTCCTGATTACTTTTTTTTTATCAGAGGTATGGTAGTATGGTGGTTCTGTAACTGGACTTGTATTTCAGACAGTTGAAGTAATGACTGGAGATATGAGTTCAAATGTCATCATGATAGTTGGAGAATTCAAATCAATTAATCAAATAAGATTATAATTTAAAAAATAAACTAACACCAATAACAGTACTGACAAAAGTACCAGATTGTTGTATTTAAAAAAAAAAATACTCGTTCAATAATGTCCTTCAAGGAAAGAAACCTGGTCTGATCTATACGTGACTCTAGATGTACAGAATTGTGGTTGATTCTTAACTGCCCTCTGAAATGGTCTAAGAATATTTTTAGTCTTATTTAAGAACGTGTCTTTCTGCCCTTAGCTTCTCAAGGGCCATTAGGGATGGACAATAAACATTGAACTTGCTTATGTTGTCTGCATCCAATGAATATGAAGGAAACAACCAATTTTAAATAAAGGAAGAAAGTCTTGCATTTATGTAAAACCTTTCATGACCTCAGGACGTGCAAAAACCAATTTACAGCCAATGGGATATTTTGTAAATTTAGCCTCTCTCCTAATGTAGGGAAGACATCCAAAAGTAGCATACAGATAATCTGTCTTAGTGGTGTCAGTTAAAGGAAAAATATTTGCCAAAACTCCAGGGATAACTACCCTGTTCCCTGATGCAGTGTCATAGGATCTTTTACATGGAGAAGGCCGGGCTTTTCTAACATCTCATCCAACTTGGATTACGTGCTTGAGTTTCTTTGCTGAAACTTGAACCGGGAACCTTTTGACTGAAAGGCAATCTTTTTTATATTCATTTAGATATGGGTATTACTGGCAAGGCTAGCATTTATTGCCCAGAGTCAACCACATTGCTGTGGGTTCGCAGTCACACGTAGGCCAGGTCATGTAACAACGGCAAATTTCCTTCCCTAAAAAGATATTGATGAACCAGATGGATTTTTACATCAAACGGCAGTAGTTAAATGGTTGCCACTAGGCTAATTTTTCACTCCAGATTCATTTTGTATTGAATTCAGATTTCACAATCTGCCAGGGTGGGATTTGAATCCATATACCCAGAACATTAGCCTTCCATTCTGGATTACAAGTTCAATACCATTACCACTACACTACCATCTCCCTCCAAGTGTTACGAATGGAGCCATGATAAAGCATTGATAGTACTGCTGTGTGCACATTATTTTATTGTTTGGAAGCTGAGTCTGGACATTGTTCTTGACAGGCTGGAGCAGGTAGCCATGGAGATACTTAAGAGTTATATCTATATCATTCTACACAGGAAGATATCATTTGAATTAAATACTGCAATGGCTGATTATCCAGAATAAAAAACTGTTAGCATAGGAAATATACAGCAATAATTTAATTAAAATCCAATGCTTTTGACTAACGTTATTCTTTTTGGTTGGGCATTTTTTTCTTCTCCTTAAAATTGCCTTCGCATAAAATGTCATTCTTCAACCTTTCCAACTCCCATCCTATATTGAACTTTCCTTTCTTGCAATTGAGGATGCCCTCTACCATCGTTGTCCGAGTTCTTGCGGATATCAATTCCAAATAAATACACCTAGGAAGATATGAAATGTGGAGAAAGCTTCAGCAAATGCTGTGACCTTTGAGCTGAACATGGAATATGGAAATTAGTTCACATACTCTTAAAACCTGAGAATTAGTGTGAAGATAAGTTGAGCTCTTCTTGATGCCCTTAAGCGTGTAAGGAACATGGAGACAGTTTTGCTTTTGCTACTACTATTAAAAGCATGGTATTTAAAGATCGGTTTAACTGCTTCTATGCCTCAACTCTGATAAAAAGAAATATCTGATAGAGTCAATTGCTGCTACACACTTAGATCTGGCATAAAATACTCTACATGGAGCAGATAAGTTAGCAAATATATGGCAAAACTAAGTTGTATTGAATGTGTTTAATTTCTTTTCATAGATATTCCCTTTTATTTTAACCCTGATTATATTGTCATCACTATTGGACCGAAGAAATCGTAAATTCTATTCTGAAGTGAATTTAGCATAATATCATGCCTCCCCTACACTGCAGTGTGACGCAAAAGTGAAAACATGAAACCATAACAAATTCCATCGTAACATTCATGTTTATGAACACAGGCTTAGCTCATCTCTTCGTACTTTAAAGTAACAGGAGATGATCTGATATCTTCAAGATTTTATCTGGCACTGCATTGCCCATGTTTATAATTTAAATTCCCTACTTTCAAAATTTAAGTATTTGTTAGATTCCATTTTTTAAACATTATTACAACCACGGCTAAAGGAGTGCCCCATCATTTAGTTCCGCTACTCCATGGATTGCAATAGAAAATAGGATTACTTTTTCAAGTTACTAAGATGGTCAAGTAAATACTATATCTCCATCACATTTTAAACAAATAGACCATTTGGAGGAATGCACTGCAGTGTAGAAAGAAGCTCAATAATCTTCTTTACTGTGTAGGTGCAAGTGCCACCATCTTCTTTCCAATATCCCATCCTCTCATACTGTATCCACCACCCACCAAGTGTCATGCTCTACTACTGTCACTCAAGACGGCACGGTGGCTCAGTGGTTAGCACTGCTGCCTCACAGCACCAGGGACCTGGGTTTGATTCCACCCTCGGGCAACTGTCCATGTGGAGTTTGCACATTCTCCCCGTGTCTGCGTGGGTTTCCTCAGGGTGCTCCGGTTTCCTCCCACAGTCCAAAGATGTGCAGGCTAGGTGGATTGGCCATGCTAAATTGCCCGTAGTGTTCACGAATGTGTAGATTAGGTGGGTTATAGTGGGGTGGGTCTGGGTGGGATGCTTTGAGGTTCAGTGTGGACTTGTTGGGCCAAAGGGCCTGTTTCCACACTAGGGATTCTATTCTGTTCTATTCTATTTTCTGTACTGCTGCTCCCATCCCTTCTCCTCCCTCACAGAACATTTGTCTTCACCTTCCATCTCACCAACCTCTGCATTTAACAGATGCTTCAGAAAAATGATATTTCTCCAATCTCCAACACGGTGCCACTGTCACACACATTTCTCCTTTTCCCTTTCAGCATCCTGAAGGAACTGTAATCTCCGTGACTCTAGTCCACTCCTCTATCATCTTTAGTGTCTGCTCCCATTCCCATAGCAACTTCCCATGTGAGTACAGCAGTTGCATGCAGCCCTTTTACCTCCTCCTGTCGTACTGCCAAAGCTGCAAACACACCTTCCAGGTGAAATAGAGATTTAACTTTTTTTTTCCATTTTAGCATACTCTATTCGCTTTTCCCGAAGCTGTTTCTTCTACTTTGGGAAGACAAAATACAGATTGGGTTATCCTTTTGTGGAATATCTCCATTCAGTTTGCAAGCAGGACCCCATGCTTCCTGTCATTTTAATTTTCCACTCCACTCTCACCTGTTCTTGGCCTGCTACTATTACAGCGAAGCTCAAAGAACATCATCTCCTCGTTCGATTAGGTCCCTTACTCCCTTTTGTTTTCAACATTGAGTTCAATAATTTCAGATCCTACCTTCTGCCACCATTGTTTCAGAAAGCAATTATTGACAATTCTGCTGTTTCCATTTATGCCTCTTCTAGACCATTGGTTTGTGCATTCACTTGTCCCGTTACCGTTGCCTTTTGCCCATTTTCGTTACTCTCTTTGTCATCTGATCTTTCCTATCTTTCACCATTTTACAGACCTTTCCCTGTGTTCCTTCTCAAGTCTATACTTTTTTCCTTACTATTTCATCTTAACTTTTCTGGTTTCTGCTGAAAAAGTGCATTAATCTGAGGTGTTCCTTCTCTCGCAACACAGATGCTGCCTGAACTGCTTAGTGTTCCAGCATGTTACATTTTTAAATACAAGTCCTGATGTTGTCCACTGTCAATAATTTTTATCATTTTAAAATTGGATGTTGAGATTTGTGATAAATTTCCTTTTACTTTTCTTTCTCCTGTTTTAGAGGAAGGCAGCTTGCTTCTGTCACACAAGTAGAGTTTTAGAGAAACAAATTGAAAGTCTAAACTTACTCAAGATAATGTGGGGTGGAAACTTGTCAGTTCCTGAAAGTAATTCATGGTTTGTTATCTAGACTAATTAGGCCTCTCAGGCCTGCAGTGCGTGATATACTTTAGTCTCTGCCATGTGTTCAGGGATCACTTGATTATTTCCACATTGCAACGTGCACACACCAGCTGTGAGGATTTTGTAAAGAACACTTGACAATTGTTCTATCCTTCAGTTTCAATTCTTAAATCCAGCAAAGGTTTTCGAAAGTATAAGAAATGACATTTCATCCAATTTGTTGGCTTATTTTACATGAATTATGCTGAATATTTAAATATTTCATACGGTAGCAAGTGGGCCAACAAATGACCTGACAGCATGGATGTTGAAGTGTCATGATCCGGAACGTTTAAAATAAAATCTTTTCTACCATGGGGAAAGGTTGGTTACACCAAAAGTTTTGAACTTACAGACTGAATGTTCAAGTTCCTCCAATACATAAAATGGATATTAGTTAATATTTACTTTTCTTGATTTACTTCCTTTAGGTATTGATGTATAGCGGACAACTTGATATAATTGTGGCAGCTCCTTTAACTGAACGTTTTCTGCTTACTGTGCCATGGTCCAGAGCTGAAGAATTCAAAAATGCAAAGAGAAACTTTTGGTTCATCAATCCCAATGACACTGAAGTGGCTGGCTATGTTCGAAACGTTGGTGACTTTTATCAGGTACTACGATCATAATAGTTTGCTGAATTTTTTATGAGATACACAAGGGTGTTTGGCAGCTGTGAGTTATTTGGCAAGCTTTCCTTGTGGGTTTCAGGAGCCTAACATGAGGCTCATGCCAGGATCTGAAACCAGCACAGTGTGGAACAATCACCAGATGTGATTTTCCCCAAAACTGACCAGTGATTGGGTAGAGAGCTGGCTCGCCAACCAATTAAGCACAACGGAAGTGTTCTTGAAGGTGGAGAGTCAATAGAAAGGCTTTTGGGATTGCCTGGAGCAGCAGGCTGCCTTTTTCAATAATCTGGGAGTGGACACTCTGCAACATTGTAATGTCCTCTCTCCACAATTTTTGACAATAAATCAAATATGTGCTTCAACACTGGGCCACCATTATGGAGGGGGTTGTTCCAGTCGGCATCTTACAGTAGGGGCCAGATTTTCACGGAGCTGGGTAAATTCCAGAGGCTGATTGTTTTTAAAAATGGTGGATGAAACCTGGATATGGAAGTCCCAGGATTTCTAGCAGATCCCATTAATGCTGGCGGGGGATGGGAGCAAGATCTAAATGACAGGTGGGAAACCTGAACTCAGCACGGTCATTTGAAATGACTGCTGAGTTCAAACAGACCCTAGTTTTACTGTTCCAAGCACCCTACTCTACAGTGTGGGAACCACCAATTTATGGAGGAGGCACATTTTGAAGACTGGCTAAGATGTCTTTAAGTGTCATGGCCAGAAGTTATTTAAAACCCCGGACAATTAAGCATGAAAAAGATAATACAGTGTCAGTTACAAGAAGAAAGTATCAGCTACTGCTTTAGTATATTGATAGATTGTGTTGTATGGCTTTAGAAAACCATTAATCATCTATTCCTACAGGTTCAATAGATTGCCCCCCACCAACTGCAAGAAGGGTGTTATTCTAGCTGACCCCATTATGAATGCTTGGCTTAGTTTCAAAACACTCCAAAAAGAAACAATTATTCCAGCAGGAGGACTGAGTTCATATTTTGACTGGCAATTATAAGGCCATTAAAATATTATTTGTCTTAGATGTAATGAATGAATTAGTGTGAATTAGTTTTTTTTTTACTATGGATTGACTGCTAGAAAGGGTTTAAATTTTTTTATAATGGATTTCATGAATTAGATTCTTCAGTATTAAATGTGTATGTGTGTAAGAGAGAGAGAATCCTCTTAGATTGTGGGAAGTTTAATTTACTGAAATCTGTCCCTGGTAGATATTGAGTGGGTGGGTATGAGGGAACTTGGCGATATGACGGGGCATGGAGGCGACAAGGGGAAACATGGGAAAGGGAGGGATAGTTGTGGGAGTGTTAAGTTACGTGGACTGAACATCACACTTACTTATGTACAAATGGTTAGACCGTAGCTGTCAGGATCTTTAAATAGAAGTTGACTGCTGTGAAAAGAGGGCATGGTTTGATTTTCTCTGACAGTTCTGAGCTACAAAAGAACTGTCAGAATCGAAGCGTGGCTCCACGTTTCAGAGGTAGCATTGAGCAGAATATCCTCTCAGCAATTTGAAACACTAGCATATGAAAGTGGTCACCCAGTATGGGAAAGAGACAGAGCAGACAGTCTAGGGTGAAGAACCAAAGGCATGATCAAAGAGGAGAGTTTGAGGAGGTTTTGAAAGAGTGGTGGGAAGTGACATGGTAAGGGAAACTGGAGAGAGAATTCCAAAGGCAGAAAATAGTTTCTGAATGAACATATGTACAGAAAGACAAGGCAGAAGAAGGTCACTAAAACAAAGTGAAGCAAATTCTTATGTAGTTTCAAACCAAGAATGGGATTTTTGAAACAAACAAAAACAGAAATTGCTGGAGACACTCAACAGGTCTGGCTGTATCAGTGGAGAGAGAAACAGAAGTAACATTTCGAGTCCAGTGAAGTACTCTCACAACATTTAAGAAGCATCTGGACGAGCATTTAAATGCCCAGGGCATGGTTGGCTATGAACCAATTGCAGGTAAATAGGATTTGTGTAGTCTTGTGTTTATTGGTCAGCAGGGACATGGTGGGCCAAAGTGCTGTACGACTTTACGATCCTATTCAATTACAGAGCTTCCATCTTTTGTTAAAGTGAAGGGCCGGAGTGGCAATCTGCCTGAGACTGCCCCTCCTCCAAAAATCCAGCCTCCACTTATCACTAAATTGTGGTACAAGCACAAAAATTAAGCAAATGCCAAACTCATTCCTGGGATTGGGCATTTAGCCCATTCCTCATTGTCCTTAGCTGAGCCTGACTCTTTGTTGCATTACTGAGGAAATATTAATGCTGGAGGTCCTGTTGTTTGATAAGACTGTAAACAATGCCTGATCTACTTTTCAGGTGGATTTAAATCAACCGACTTCATCAGAACAATTTAGATGTTAATTTTTTTGTGCAATGTTACTGCACACAAGTTGGTTCCTGTGTTCTTTTAATTATTTTTATTGTTTTAATTAATGGTTGAAAAGTGCTTTGTGAAGTGCTTAGGGCAACAGAGTGGCTCAGTGGTTAGCACTGCTGCCTCACTGCGCCAGGGACCTGGGATTGATTCCAGTTCGGGTGACTGTCCATGTGGAGTTTACACATTCTCCCTGAGTCTGCATGCGTTTCTTCAAGTGCTTCTGTTTCCTCCCACAGTCCAAAGATGTGCAGATTAGGTGGATTGGCCATGCTAAATTGCCCATAGTGCCCAGGCTAGATGGATTAGCCATGGGAAATGCAGAGTTACAGGGATAGGGCAAGGGGTGCATCTGGGTGGTATGCTCTTTGGAGGTTCGGTGTGAAGTCAATGGGTCAAATGGCTTGCTTCCACACTGTAGGGATTCTATGATTCTGTTTTGTGTCAAGAAAGAGGATATATAAATGCAACAAAAACAGAAGTTGCTGGAAATGCTCAGCAGGTTTGGTAGCATCTGTGAAGAGAAATCGGTTCTGAGGAAGGGTCACCTGACCCAAAATGTTAACTCTGATTTCTGTTCACAGATGCTGCCAGACCTGCTGAGCTTTTTCAGCAATTTCTGATTTTGTTTCTCATTTACAGCATCCGCAGTTCTTTAGGTAATATTATATACAAATGCAAGGTTTTTGTTATGAATAGTATCAATTTGCTAAATAATTTTTAGGTGAAATTCAATCACTTTTTGAATCCAGACACTCCTGTGGACCTTATTGTATGAGGCCTTTGTTTAAAATGCTTTGATAATTGGAACACTTACAGACCAACCATTTCATGAAAATTAAAGCAGTTATAGCCCAATTTATGAAGCCGTCTAAAATCATGTTTCATTATATTTGTGCAAATTCAGAAGCCCTCAGATGCCTTAAAACTCATCCAGATGGCAACTGTAATGAAATTGGAGGAAGAAAGTTTGAGATTTTTGTTTAAACCACAAGCAGAATGATGCCATTATGTTTTCACTTTGATAGCAAATTTGCACATGTGCAGAGCATGGAATTGAGTGCTGTGGGAAAGAAACCACAACTTGTTGAATTAAACTTTAAAACATCTAAAGGGAGTATACCCTATGTTCTGCATAATACAAGTGCAGGCATCTCCGTATAAACTGAAGTGCAGTTTATTAATGATAAGTATCTGCTTTATCACTTCAATACATTACTTTTAGGATCAGAATTTGAACAAAAAAATGAATGTCAATCAAAAGACAAACAATGCATACTGATGTTAACAATGCTCAACATACAAAGAGTCAGCAGCTGAAATTGAAAGACAAGTTTGAGTTTGAATGAGGCATTGTAGCAAGTATTTCTTTGTTTAAATAGTGTCAAGTGTTAACTTTGATAGTGAGTTGTTATGTGCCATCAGTGCAATATTTGCAAGGAAGAAAGACTTGATCATAGTTATTTCTTGGATGTATTCATTAATTACCCGATCTGCAGATTTTATGCCTATTGTGCATTATTTGACTCTGTAGTTTCTGGGAAAATGAAAGGTTGAACATTCATCACCAGTTGCAGTTAGAACACACAGACCTGATCCATCTGTCATGAATCATGGAGACAATCATGTGATGGAAATCCAGTCCCAGAATTCCTAAAGCCATCAAAAATATGCTAATTTGATCAAACCACTGAATTGCACAATGTTACTTCACTAATTCAGGTTAAAAAGAAAATGCGCACCAGGTTTTTTTTACTGCATGAAAATTGTTACTTAGTATAATCAAACTGTTTGATTAACTGTTTAACCAATGGGAAGATAAAAGCATGAATTGTTAATTTGTAACTCTATAACTTAGCTATACCCTTTTTAAAATTCCCATATACCAGACACACAGAGACAGCACACAATAATGTGACAAATATGTGGGGTGGGGGAAAGCCAGAGAAGCACAGTTCTGGCATCGTCTGGATCATAGTTGTCGATGAGTTGTTTTCTCATCTCCTTCCAATTTATCGACGCAAGGCTGTGGAAACACCATTTCTCAGTCTTCCTTTCACTAGTTGAGGAGTCACCCTTCCTGTACTTTTGAAAGTGCATTTTCTCCTTTTTCCTTTTGAGGATTTGCAGAAAGAACAGCTTTAGAAAGCAAAGCAAGGGACCGTAGCTAGCTGCTAGGCATTTTCTTCCCCTTCTCCACACGAGAGAGAGAGAGAGAGAGTGATGAATGCTATCTCTTTGCAACCTGGATGATTCTGCACTATTGTCCACACCCAAGGCTATGGCCATCTGCCCAGGAACCAATCAAGTAGGTATTAGTTTGCTGAGCCCTTCTGAGCGCACAGCAATCATAAGACTGTCACTGGGAACACACATAGGCATTGCCATTCTGTCTGGGATATTCCCTCACTGCTTGAATAAGGCAACGTTGTAGATACAACTCAGTGTGTTCCAATAATTTGTTTTTAAAGCTGCAAACCTTATCTCCTTACTCCTTTTTTTCAATGAGACTGTGTATCTTTCCCCATTTTTAATCCACAGTCCATAAAAAGACTTCCCACGTAGAAGCTTAGCCTACTATCA